TGCTTCTGTCTACGCGCTGTTGTCGCCCTGTTGATGACGTCAGCGACGCGGTTTAGTCGGGCGCGGTTTAGTCAGGCGCAGTTTTGTGGTGGAACCAACAAACTCAGCTTATGTTGTTTCTTTGGCATGCTTTATGGCTTCACATAATTTGCAGGCCCAGTTGCAATCTACAGGCAGTCCTTGACTTATGACAGCTCACTCCGCAACCATTCAAAAATTAAGACGGACCTTTGAGGCCTTACTTACGACTTGGATTTGAAGTTCTCAACAGTCAGGTCTCCTGCGGTCACATGACTGAACTTTGGGCCCGTGGCAACCAGGCTGCATTTATAGCTATATGCAGTGTCCCGTAGTCATGTGACTGCATTATAGAACAGTTTTGCCGAAACAAAAAAAAAAAACCCTAACAGCAGTTACTTCTGATGTTCAGTAAATTCGCTCCCATGGTGGGCCAGTGATCTGCTTAACAACCCTGATGTTCGCTTAACAACCGGACGGGCTGCTTTACGACTGCCGCCTTCACTTAACGATCACTGCAAAACAGGTCGTAAAATTGGATCTGTCACGTGACCAACCCCATTTTACAACCATCATAACCCTATGACCAGCTCCATTATGGAAATAACGTCAAGGGCTGCCTATATTTAGTTCACCCTAGCGCGGCTGAACTAAGCGACTAAGTAAATTTGTACTTTGCATTTCAACCTCCGCCTGCTGATTCTGTAGCTATTATTTTACATTAATCATTTAGGTTCTGAACAAGTAGAGGTTGGCCCTTAGAATCTGAATCAGACTGATACTCGGGATTTAGAGTAAAATACACGGCAGGGGGAATAACATAGCACCGGCTTGCCATTCAGATGCAACATAGTACAGTTACGTTTCAAAGTTTTGTTATCCAGGAGAGCCACCTTGTGGAAATCACATCTTCCTGGTAGTCCAAGAAAAAGCAAGAAGAACACAAGTGCTAGTGCAAATGCTTTCTTACGCTGTGAGAGAGCAGAATCGGCAGGTAAGTGTGTCACCCTTTTTTCTACTGATGACTTAAGAACGGCACGGAAAATCTGCGTCTGTCTTACGTTCTTGCCAGGGTTTGGGGCTGATCGGCCACAAGGACAGGAAACTTTCACTCAAGATGATCCCCCATGAAATACAAAGCTGCCCCCCACGCTTTTAAACACTAAACCTTCTAAAACAGGGATCTCCAGCCTCGTCAACTTTGAGCCTGGGGGACTTCAACTCCCAGAATTCCCCAGCCTTGGAGACCCCAGATCTAAAAGATATTGACAAGACGACGCAAGGTTGCCTGTTGGAATGATTCCATCCTGAAAGAAAAAAAAACCTTGAAAACCTTAGCAGGTCTTCAACCCATGACACAAAATTTCACCTTGCATTTTACTGTACTGGAATTTTTTTT